TGGAGCTAGGGAGGTGGGCTCCTCCAGGAGAGGGCGTGGAGCTAGGGAGGTGGGCTCCTCCAGGAGAGGGCCTGGAGCTAGAGAGGTGGGGCTCACTCCCTGTGACAGTCAGGTCCCAAGCAATGGGTATTTAAGTGCAAAAGGCACCATCTGAACTTGGCAGTGAAGCAGAATCGTCTGCAGAGCTCCGTGCAGTCGGAGATGTCAGCACCTTCTCAGACACAAAAATCTGCAGTTTACCAGACTTCCCAGGTAATGTGGAGATGCAGGTTTATACTGAGAACCACCAGAGCAGCTAATTAGAAAGTTTTCTGTGATGTGAATCCACACTTACCAACAGAAAGAAAACAAAGCATTTTAAAGAGGAAGCTTACGGATTCCCAAAAGCCACCCTGAATGAACGGCAGCTACATACAGAGTTGCTTTGCTCCACTCGCAGCCATAACCAGCAAGGAGAACAGTGTCTGGAATGTGCAGTTGCTCAGGAAACATTCGTGAGTGAAAGATCAGGCCTCATAAGGTCTTCAAGAAGTGAAGCCCCTCCCATCTCTCCTGCGTACTTCCCTGTATGGGCTGGTCTGGTGGCAGCCGGTTATCAGGACTTATAATACCCTGTATGGTCCAAGATTCCTTGACTCCATTGTTGAGAGTTATTACCATGAAAGAGCACTCGCATCTGAAGAATGAGATTCCAATTTCCATCTTGTAAATGGAAACAGGAGCCTGTGGCGGGCACTGTGGCGTGGGGAGTGGGCCAGACTTGGAAACAGAGCGCTGGGTCTCACTCAAGCTCTGCTACTTTGCAGCTCTGGAACTGTAAATGAATGAGTCAACTTGCTGCTTTTGATTGTAATAATACCACCAGCTAAGGCCGCTGCCAACAGATGCCCACATGCACCCCTCTGAGGCAACCTATCAGGAAAGTGAGTCGCAGAAGGCCTTGAGTGATATCTCCGAGGTCAGGCGATCCGTAAAGTCAGGATGTAACAGCAAGCTGGCCCCACACTGCATGTTCATGACCAACACACTGCATTTTTTTCTATAGAACAAGAGTAATTATCATATCTTAGGTTGGTTGGGAGCCTGTTTAATCCACCTGTGTTTATGGCCTTTTACTGAACCCAGAGTAGACAGGACTCAGCAACCATGGCTACTCCTGAAGGGTAGAGTCACTGCCGGAGGGAGAGGGGGACAGTTCTGCTGTGCTGCTGCCGCTGTGTGCTCACCCTTCTCAAAGCCCTGCCCTGGGTTGCCTGACGCCTTCTCTGCCTGGGGGACCGAAGCGTGTGCATTTATTTATTTACTCAGATACCTATTTTTTTGCTTTCCCAGCAATTAAACTCAGGTCCTTACAGTGAGCTACATCTAGATAGCTTGAATAACTACTGTTGATTTCTATCAGAACAGTTCATACTTAATTTTTTTCTTCTTTTTAATTATTTTTGGACCAATTTTTGACCAATTTTGTATGTTTATATCTGGTAACCTGAGCAACTAGTTTGATGACAGCAATGTGCTATACCACAACCTCTCTTAAACTCCTACCATTTTGTTCAGTTAAATTATCTTTTTTTTTTTTATGAATTTGGTACAGGGTCTTGCCACGCAGCTCAGATTCGTAGTGATCCTCCTGCATCCAGCCTCCCCAGCACTGGGATTATAAGCATGAGCCACCATGCCCAATCTCGGCACACCGCATATGGTGCTGGGAATTGAACCCTAGTCCTTGCTCTTCCCTAAGCAGGAGCTTAGTCCACTGAGCTATCTAGCCAGCCCTTTTTGTATTGTTTCTAATGGTTTGTTTGGGATTTTTTTTTTACTATTTTTTATTCACTTTAAACAAAGTAAAATAGCTGATAAGAAAAAAATTTCCAAACAGGGTCTTAAGTCACTAAATTGCCAGGCTGAGCTTCAGTGTGCAGTCTTCCTGCCCCAGCCTCCCAGACTGCTGGGATTATAGGAGTGCACCACCATGCCCCTGCTTCATGATATTACTGTACTCAAACTTTCCAGAAGGTAACACCGTCAGGAAGCTAGGAACCTGGGTATCACCATGCAGGGAGTTATATATAGTCTAAACATAGAAACCCAAACCCCTGGCCTCGGTCCTATGCTGCTCCAGACTGGGTCCCCCATGGATCGTTGCTCAGTGTGGTTTCCAGCTCAATATGGAGAGGTCCAGTTTGCTTACAAGGTGACAAGCTAACTTACTCCTCTGCTGAGAAGGGAATCTCCCATGTCTCCAGCTTGCAGGCTCCAGTGTAGGGCAGGACCCACCCAGCCAGGACCCTGGGCATTGGTGCTGTCTGGAAGGCAGGTTTGCAGCTGGGTGCGCACGGACAGATTTCTAGCGGGGATGCCTCTGCCTGCCTCTGCAGAGAGCTTGAGTAGTTTCCAAGAAACAGCCAATGAGCCCTCACCGAGCCAGTTCCCCACCCAGCACTTTAAGCATATTAAATTGCCTTTATTTTGTCAATGGCATTTTCGGCCAACAGTCTCTGGTGACCCCAGTCTCATGCATGCCAAACAACATGCACCTACTAAACTGCTGCCTGTTTTCCCTTTTCTCTTTACAGACTGATCCAGAACACCAAAAACCTGGTGCACATTGGGCCTGGCGCGTTCACACATCTCCCCCGGTTAAAATACCTGTGAGAAAATGTCCTTTTTAAGCACTCAGGGAGGGGAAGATGGGCACACGATGAAAAATTAAAAGCTGAGCTGAATGTTTCAAGCCACGCAAGCGGCACTGTGTCCATGCCCTGCTCTTCTGATTTAATCGGTATTTCTCGTCAGCACCATTCTTAGTGTTTTTGCACATGTGTTGGTGGGCAGCGGTTCCCAGCACTGTTTCTGTCCCAAACACCGGAGAAGAACGTTAGCCTCTGCACTGAGGTTCACAACAGACGGTGGGCCGGGGGCACGGTTATGACACCACTTCCAAGCGCAGAAATCCGAATCTGTCCGGAGAGGGGACAGGAGATGCAAGGAGAGGGCAGCTCTGAGCTGACCGTCAAGCTGGCTGGGAACTTCGTCTCCTTTATCCCACTGTTCCTTCATCAAGTGAAGTGCTCTAAAGTACCCCCTGGAGGTAGACGCTGCACCAGCGTGCACTCAGCCCTTAGCGGCAATGCCCCAGGGCACCTCACCCAGTCTACGGGCCACGGGGTAAAGCAAGCAGCAGGTGGCCCTGCCAGCAGCGCCCAGGTTCCCGCCATCGCATGCAGCCTCTGAGCGTAAAACTGCGGATCTTCTCGTGCATCAAGACACCTGCACTCTCTTCTACAGTTTTCATTCCATTTGTCCTTTATCAGCGCGTGTCACAGCGCACCATGTTTGCATCCCTGCGTGCCGTTGGCACGTGGACCCAACGTGTCCCGGTTCCCTTTCGTACTCCCAGTTCCCTTTTGCACTCCCCAGCCCTCCTTTTGCACTCCCCAGCCTTCCTTTTGCCTTCCAACTCTTGATCCCTTTCTCCACATAAAAAAAAGCTTTCATTCCCGACAGAGATGCCCCCCTCTTCTTTCTAATAAACTAAGTTTCATCAACTTCCCTACAAGTTGGGACATCCTCCCCTCAAGGCCACCAGGAGCAAACAGAAGGAGGGCGCGGAAAGGGACCTCTCTGTGCAGCTCCGCCACCAGCCCTCCGCTGGGCCTTGGGCACTGTTCCTTGGGCAGCTCCAGCCCAGGACACTGCCAAACCCCACGTTGTTATTCCTCTGCCAGCCTCCAGGGGCCATGGGGACAAATGCACACACTGAGCATCACAGTCTTGGAAAAACAAACAAATAGCTCAAAGTCAAATTTGATCACCCAGTCCCTTATTATCCAAAAATCACTGTCTTCATTAATAATGTCTTCTCCCCAAAATGTGGTAGCCCCAGCCCAAGCCCATAGCGCTGTCCCCAGCCATGGATAAGGGCTGGCTTCAGTGTGATCCCTGATACCACATTTGTTCATTCGTCCAAATGAACTATAATAAGGAGAAGAACAGGAAAGCCAGCATGGACAGCTGGCTTTGTCTCACTGTCACCAGACACCGGGCAGTTGGTACCTGATGTCCAGAGCCAATGCCTAGTGAGTTTCTGGACACCCTAAAGGAATCCTATTCTTGTAACAAAACACTCTTCCATTTCACCTGTCACTTATGTCTCTCTCTTCTTCCATTTCACCTGTCACTTATGTCTCTCTCTTCTTAAAAAAAAAAAAGGCAGAAACAAAAGAAGAGACTTAAATAGCCCCAAACACCAAAAGAAAACTCACTGGTCTCAATGAGACACAAGGAAGAATGCCCTGAACTACAAAATAGCTAAATACAGCAAGATGGTTAGTAACTATGGAAGTGCATTTCTCGTTAGTCTTTCCAAAGTGTGAGTTAAAACCTGCTCCAAAGGAGAGGGGTGTTTCCTAAAACTATGAAGCCAATGGGATAAGCTAATTGTCAGAGGAATGGAGGAAAAATACAGTAGGAGAATGCAGCTGGGTTAATAGGAAGAGACAGGCTGGAAATTCAAACGGAATAGGCCTGCAGTCTGGGTCTCTAAGTAGGAACCAGCAGAGCAACTTCACTGCAGTAGTAACAGCCTTTGAGTTCTGATCACCTCTAGCAGCTAACAGTGTTGTCTGTAAACCGACTCAGTATTTTTAAATGTAAAATGAAAATAGTGTTTGCAAAATGCCTTTTTACTCCTTTTTATCTTTACGTTTTAATAACAAGCTCTTCTACCAACTCTGCTGACATCACTCCCTGCCCCAAATCACAGGAGCATCTGTAACACGGGCATCCGAACGTTTCCAGATGTTACGAAGATCTTCTCATCTGAATTTAATTTCATTCTGTAAGTACTGGGATGATTGCTATGCATAACAGTTTCTTATTTGCAGCTCAACTTTGGAGAGTAAATATTTCTAATTTCTTTCCTCAAGGGAAATTTGTGATAACTTACACATAACCACCATACCGGGAAATGCTTTTCAAGGGATGAATAACGAATCTGTCACACTGTGAGTAGACTCCCAGATTCTCTTTCTCCACTGCCTCCTGCGTCCTCACTCTTAGCCTCCCCATGGTGTTTCCTCGCTGGTGACATTGCTCTTCCCGACTTAAAATGCCAAGCATGGAAGAGGCTCCGTGGAATAGCATCAGTGTCGTACACTAACAACTAACCAACTCGTGCAGTTTGAAATAAATCAAATGGGTCCTGGGGCTTTTCAGTACACAATTCCCAACTAGTGAAACTTCACTGTACCTGGAGTGTTCTGAGGCTAGGAAGACCCCCTGAGGGGTGTGGCTGCCTCCTCAAAACAGAGCATAGAAATTTTAAGATTCCAACTGAAGCATCTAGGTGGACAGGTAGAGTAGCTCATCAGTAGGCTTTGCTCTCTTCCTCTGGCTTTTCACCTTGACATTGGGCCCCCCGAGACAACACTGCCTGTGCCCTTTCCTTCTATCTTCTGAGGCACGGTGTCATTTTGTCACCCCGGCCCTGGACCACCAGACCAAGAGATCCCAGCCCTTCCACAGTGTTTCTTAGGACTTCATAATTCAAGCACGGGGCATGAACCAGCTTTTCCAGAATTTTCTGAACACTGATTAGGCATCAGACGGTCAGACCCAACCCAGACTCACTGACTGGCAATCTGCATTTTCCCAGGATTCCAAGTGACTGACAACGCAGCAAGCCTCAGGGCGCTGCACCAGTCTCTGTGTGGTGTGCCTGCCTGCCCCTCCCTAGAATCCCTGCCGTCTCTCTTCATGTGAGACGCCCTCCATGCCCTCCTTTGCCCCACTGCTCGATGCAGCCCCCGAGCACCATGTCTCGTTTACTGAGGTTTGAAGCCCTGTGATCGTCTCTCCTTCTGCCCCTACTTCCCTCATGGCCCTTCTGTTCTGGCTCCAGCTGAGGGAAGGACCGTGATAAGTAAAGGAAATGCCCCTGAAGAAACAAAGGGAGCACACAGACTGGCACAACCCTGAAATGAAGTCAGAGGTGTAAAGCAAGTGAAGAAAACTTCTAACAGGCCTCTTTTCTACCAGTGTTCCTAAAGATTAAGTATCAGTGGCTCGCTGCATTTGTATAATATTTTTCCTTTGTATCAATATAATTTTACATGTGTAACTGTTGTGTTACAAAGCTGTGCCAACATAGCCCAACTCTTGTACAGTCAAAAGAATACACAGCAGCAACCAAAAATAACTTCAGAATAACTCTCATCCACTACCTGCAACTCTTAAACACTGGGAGGAGACTGCAGATCCTACAGTTCTCCACAGTCCGCTCCTTCCTCTTCCCCCACAGCTGCTTCTGAAGTGTCTGCAGCTCACCATGGCATAAGAGACATGGTGCTGTCTATACCATGTCCCCGGGGCCTCCACTGATACAGGGTAGTCACAGCTCTGGCTCAGCGTGAGGAGACACCGCACGCCCCACAGCTTTATCTTGCTAGACCTTCACTGAAAGTACAACAGATTGACAGTAATCTTCTGGTCCTCCATACTCTCACAGATGTGGGGACATAAAGTACGGAGAGCACACAAGCCGGGAGGTCTCTGCTGCGAGACGGGGTGCCGCACAGACACAAGAGCTCAAACATCTGGGGCCAAGGAAGTCAGAGGAGGCTGCGTGGGGGAGCTGAGGCCTGAGCTGACCCTCGCCAAGTCGGGGTGGCTGACGGTGACCAGAGCAGCTGGCATTGCTAGCAGGCCTGTATCCTCTAAGCCTCACACAGCCGAGGCCTTCCAGCCTTGATATAAATGAGGACACCAAAGCAGTAAGAGCAATAAGCATTTACCCATGGCCAAGATTTGGAAGCAGGTATTCTGGCCCCAGTGACACATTCTTAATCATTACGTGGTGAGACAAACCAGAAAGGGGAAGCAAGGGGGCCAGGTGAGAAACCTGGGAGCACCCACAGGGCTGCAAGAGGGGAGCTGCTCCTTCGGGAGCAGACATCCTGCCTACCACAGGGACTTAGATGGCAAGCGGGAGGGGACAAGGCCTGAAGGAAATCCTGAAAAAATGAGAAGCATCACCCAATACAGTAGCACGTATTCAAAAACCAACGTATGTAAGACTCCCAGCAACTCGGACCTAAATGTAAAATACTCAGCACCCCAGGGGTCCTCCTCCAGGTGGATGCACTGAGATGGGAGGGGAGTGACGCCGAGTGAAAGTTGGAGAGCTGAGGGCTCTGAGCTCACCAGGCAGGGCCTATCAGACAGGAGAAGCCAAAGGCAGCTCTCTCATGCCACTCATTTCCGGTTCACGTGCAACAGCCACAGGCTCCGTAGCTTCCTCAGAAAGAGGAATCAGGCCACCTTGCCTTGCCAGCAGGGCAGAAGCACTACACATACACACACACACACAGCCTGGGGCCCCTGTGCTGAGCCCCCTCCTCACCACGCGCCCGCCTCATTCACCCAGATGCTCTTGGCCACTAATGAGCCCTCTGACAGAAACAGCCATGAGGTCACTTTCTAAGGCCCTTTGGAGAAGAGAGTCCAGCGAACCGTGACGTGATCCCTGGCTGTGCTGTGAGAGCCAGCCAGATGTGGAGACAGGGCCTGGGCTTCCCACCTAAGCCTGCGTCTCTTGGGTGAGCGTCCTTCCTCCAGGGGGGCCATTCTTACGCCTCCAGGTTGGCCCACTCGCTGGTCAGGATTACATATGCCTCCTTCCTGCGATCCAGTCGCACTGGGTCAACTGCACAGTCACGTAGTTATCAGTCAGCCATGGCTAAAAGCTAAGGTTCCTGCAATCCAGAGCAAGTGTGCTGTGTTAGGCCACTCTGAAAACACCGCGTCCCATCGTCTGCTTTCAATTTTTTAGTTTACATTTTGAGGTACATGGAAGCCAGGGCTTGCGCTCGCTAGGCTGGTGCTCTACCACTGAGCCACGTCCCCAGCCTTAAGTATTCTTATATTTAAAAAAATTTAACTGATGCATGACTTTGTGCTTGCCTTTGCACTGAGTTAGATCAGTGTGACAGACACGTGCACACCTCACCCAGTCACCCACTCCACTAACGGCGCTGCCTACTCCGCTTCCACCTGAGAACACACAGCGCCTTCTGCCAGAACAGCCAAGATGAGTTCACAGATGCAGGGCCATCCAGCACACGCCTCCCCTCAACAGGAACATTCTACACAGCTGCAGTGCCTACGCCCAAAAACATCATCAAGAATTTAGTGCTGTTTGGCCCACAGGCCATATTTAAATAAAAATGCTTTCATAGATTTAAAAATAATAATAATAATAATAGCAATCAAAGTTCCTGCACATTTTTGCAGTTATGGGACTGCACCATCTCACGCTAACCTCCCTCCATCTCCCCCCACACCCTTTGCACCGTCCCCTGCACTCCCTTGTTCCACAGGACACTGACTCCTTTGAGAGGTTTGGGAAAGTGGTCTGGATTCATCTGTTGGCAGGGCTGCATGTAGGCTCAGCTCAGAGGTGCTGTAAGAGCCCAGCTGGGATGGAACCACGCCAGTGGCTGGCTGGCAGGTTCTCTGTCTGTCTGTCTGTCTCTCTCTCTCCCCCCCCC